AAATTAGCGGGGCATGGTGGCAAATGCCTGTAGTACCAGCTACTCAGGAGGCTGAGGTGGGAAGATCGCTTGAGCCCAGGAGTTTAGGGTTACAGTGAGTTATGGTTGTAACACTGCATTCCAGCCTAGATGACAGAATGAGACCCCGTCTTAAAAAAAAAAGCTATAATAAAAAGACCTCTGGCCACAGAGGCGAGAAGGCAGAGCAGGAAGCCAGTGAACCAAGCAGGTGGAGGGCAGTGGTTGTGGGTCTGGCTGTGGGGTGATGGGCACTCTCAGGAAGGACAGAGGGGCTAAGGAGGGAGGTAGAGGGGCCTGGGGCCCTCAAAGGTGGCAGGATTCCCAACTTGAAGGCTCTGTGGCCCCCTCTGATGGTGCAGCCCTGCCCACCCCCATCATGCACTCTGTCCTCCCCTTATGGTGCAGGCTGGTTCCCACCATCATGGTGCAGCCCTGCCCTGCCACTGGTGTGAGCCCATCTGTGCCGGTGTGAGTGAGCCCACCCCTCCTCTGGCATGGGTCCCTCCCTGACCAGCACGAACCCACCTCCCATGCCCTTCCCTTTCCCCCCGGTGTAAGGCCATCTTCCTCTGGCTGGTGCAGCTCCATCTTCACGTACACCCTTGCTGCTATCTCATCGCAGGGGGCATTGTGACAGTTGAGGACTTGAACAACTACCATGCTGAGCTGATCGAGCATCCACTGAACATCAGCCTGGGGGACATGGTCCTCTACATGCCCAGCGCGCCACTCAGTGGGCCTGTGCTGGCTCTCATCCTCAACATCCTCAAAGGTGAGTCCCTGCCGAGGGGCCGTGATGCCGCAGCTCCCTCCCCATGCTCCACCCCTGCTGCATCTTGCCCGCCCTGGGCCCCTGCCCTGTGTCTCTCCATCACTGAACTCCCGGGTGTGCCTGGCTCCTGGCTGGCTGTGGCCCGCAGGAGGCTATGCGACAATGCTCAGGGCTGGAAGAGGAGGAGTCAGGAGGGAGAGGGGTGCAGGAAGTCAGGGCCAGGGGCCTGGTCCAGAGGCATCCTGGTCATTGGAGTGACCATCTGTGACTTCCTAGACTGTGTGGTCTTCTGGCTGATGGGTGAGGTCCAGGCCTGGGAGCCCTATCCATATTTCGTCCTTGCTACAGTCTTTTATTTAATGTTCCCCTTCTTGGGGACAGCAGGGCGGCTCATGGAGATGTCTACCCTCCGAGTCCCTCTGAGCCCCTGGGACCTGCCCACGCATACCTGGCTCTGTCTAACCAGGATACAACTTCTCCCGGGCGAGCGTGGAGATCCCTGAGCAGAAAGGCCTGACATACCACCGCATCGTGGAGGCCTTCCGGTTTGCCTATGCCAAGAGGACCCTGCTTGGGGACCCCAAGTTTGAGGATATGACTAAGGTAGGGGCAGGGGCTGGCCTACCATGGGGACAAGTCCTGGTGGAGAGGCATGTATGCTTTATGAGACCATTCCTTATACAAACTTTGACTGTGTGTTGGGATGTGCCAGTGACCCTGAGCCCTGGCAACGGGTAATTAGCGCCCCCCTCATTCTGGTCACACTTCTACTTCAGGGCCTTGGCATATGCTGTGCCCTTGGATCTGAAGATTCTGGAGTGTTCTGGTCAATACTGAGATGAGGAATACATGGGGGTGTTGCATCCCTCAGGGATGATGAGAAGGATGGCTGAGAGGGAGAGGACCCAGGCCTTGATATCTTGCTTCCCGGTCACTCCAAGGACCTAGTGCTTCCCAGCTGCCATCCTCAGCCCTGTGCTGCCTGGCTCGCTCACTCACCAGGGCCCCAGTTCCACGCTGGACCTCTGCTGGGACTCCCGTCATGTCTCTTCCCACAGAGGGTCTTTTATACCCCTTCTTACCTACTCGAATTCTCAGTGCTCTGGGGTGGAGATGCAGACCCCTCATGCTGACCTATGACCTCCCAGGAGGGACCTCAGATGTCTAGCAGGTGTCTTCTCTTTTTGCGAGGAGCACTCTGCAGCTAGTGACCTGGTGTCTTGTCTCTTGGAGGGGACAGAGTCACCCATGGTGCCCTCTCTGCCCTCTCTCTTGGCTAAGGCTGGCCCTTCCATCCATTTGCTGGCTCAGGGTGCCATTCCTACAACACTCGTCTCTGCCTTGGACCATTTTCCCTTTTATAATGAATCATTCCCATAAAAGAGGTGGCTGTTTTTGCTCCAGAACCTTCCAGCTGCTGCCCGCTTCTGTCCTGTGTTCCTTTAGGGCAAACATGACCAGACTTCCTCCTCTCTCCTTCAGGCTGTCCTCACTTCCCTCTCTACCCTCATACCACCAGATCCTGGCATCCAGACTCCTCAGTTTCTCCCTCAAGCCCCACTCAACAGCATCTCATAAAACTCACCACATTCTCCTTCTTCCTTCAACTTTTCATTTTGAAGATGTTCATACCTACAAAAATATTAAAAAATCAAAATATCTCCTAGGCAACATAGCAATATCTTGTCTTTACAAAAGAAAAGAAAAAAAGAAAAGAAAAGAAAAACGTCAAATCCCAGTGCTTTGGGAAGCTGAAGTGGGAGGATTCTTTGAGGCCAGAAATTCGAGACCAGCCTGGGTAACACATTGAGACCCTGTCTCTACAAAAAATAAAAATTATCCGGGTGTGGTAGCACATGCCTATAGTCCCAGCTACTGGGGAGGTTGAGACAGGAGGATCGCCTGAGCCCAGGAACTCAAGGCTGTGATGAACCATGATCATGCCACTGCACTCCAGCCTGGATGACAGAGTGAGACCATATTGCTTAAAAAAAATAAAAAGTAACAAAACCCCCCAAAACCCTGTTCTCTTTCACTGGAATCCCCAGTGTGGACATTTCTGCTTCATTTCCTAATTCCATCTCCACCACCTCTACCTATATCTATGTTTCTCCTGAGTGACTGGATAGTAGGTAGCTGATGTCACACTTCAGAGTGTGTTTTCTAAGAGCAAGGACTTTGGCACACCACAGCTGGATGCTGGGGCAACATGACCTATTAGACAGCCATGTCAGAATTTCCCTGAGGGGCCCAGTATATTTTAGGTCCAGGATCTGTGGAGTCACCCCTTGTGGTTCAGCCATGCTAATTCCTGTCTCCTAACCTACCATAGACCCCCTTGGCTATTTTGCTAAGGGCCCAGGGCAGTTGCCTTGGAAAATGTCCCATGTCCTGGATTTGTCTTTCTGCTTCCTCAGGGGCAGATTCAAGTGGAATGTCTCTCCCTGGGTTTTCAGTTAGTCCAGGGGTGCTGCTAAACCCTCTGGAGGCATTTCCTCTGGCCAGTCTCCTGGGGCCCTTCTTTGCCGGCTTCTTACCTTCTGCCTTTGTGCCACCTTGGGAACTCTGGCCATGCTTCTGGCTTTCAGATATCACTGAGTTTATCTTCCAACTTAACCTTGCTAATGAATTCTACATGCGGAGAGCCGTGCTCATAGGTCCATGCACCAAGACATGCTCTTCTGAGTCCAATGGACACACGTCCAAAATTGGGCTTCTGACAGTCCCCAAACCTGCCCCTTCTGCAGTGTTTACCTTCCCCCTATCAACAGCCACTCTGGGCTGAAGACTTGGGCCATCCTCAATTCTTCTTTTCCTCCTGCCTGGGGCAGCCATCATTTCTCACCCGGTCCTCTGTCCACAGCCTCCCAGTTGGGCTCCATCCTTGTCCTCACAGTCACCAGAGGGACCCTGTGAAAACCATCTCCAGGGTGCTTACTTCTCTGCCCTAAGCCTTTGTGGCAACAAGCAAAAGCCAAAGTCCTTACAAGCCCTTCAAGGTCCTCCACAATGGCCCCCAGCATGCATTTTCAACCTGTCCTCTCCTTCACCCCACGCATTCTCTGCCAGTCATTCACAGGACTGTGCTGCCACCTTGGGGTCTTTGCATTGACCACTGAAGCCTCATTCTGGGCTGTTTTCAGATGTCAGTCACCTCCTCCGAGAGGCCCTCCCTGACCACCCTCTCCACAGCCCATCCCTCTCAGTCCCCCTTATCTGGCTTGTGGTTTCAGCACTTTCCCTGCCCGCATTTGTTTTTCCTGCCACAAGGGCAGGAACCTACATGGCTAGTCCCTGTTGATTCCCCAGTACCAGGTGTGCAATAGAAGCTCCATGAATATGCGTATGAATGAATGAATGATTAAATGCGTCAAGAGTCTGGAGGCTTGAGAGACAGACAGGCAGATATACAGAGTTGCTGGAAGGCAATCTAGATGGGCTGAAGAGGGGGTCAGACTGACCCTGTGAGGTGCTGGGGCTGCCCCGGGGTCCTGGGGAGTCACAGGTTTCGGGTGCAGGAGGGTTGTGGTCAGAGCCATGGTCAGGGGCTGCCTGAGACCTGCTTGCACAACCCTGTGCCCCCGTCCCCCCTCCCTCCCCACCTCCTCAGGCCAGCTCTGGGGTCTCGGCAGGTGGTCCGCAACATGACCTCCGAGTTCTTCGCTGCCCAGCTCCGAGCCCGGATCTCCGACGACACCACTCACCCAACCTCCTACTATGAGCCTGAGTTCTACACGCCCGATGACGGAGGCACTGCTCACCTGTCTGTCGTCGCAGAGGATGGCAGTGCCGTGTCTGCCACCAGCACCATCAACCTCTAGTAGGGGCTGCCTGCTGCCTGGGTGGGACAGGGCAGGGACGGGTGGGCCAGCGGCTGCCCGCATGTCCTGTAAGGCAGCTCCATCACCTCCTTTCATGGTGGGAAACCAAGGCCCCACCTTGGTAGCTTGCCCAGGGCCTTCCGGGGAGTGTGTTTGAACTTCGGTGGGTGGGTAGGGACCAGGCAGGGCAGGGCCAGTCGGGCGCAGCCATCTGACCTGGCCGGGCTGCAGCTTTGGCTCCAAGGTCCGTTCCCCAGTCAGCGGGATCCTGTTCAACGATGAGATGGACGACTTCAGTTCTCCCAACATCACCAATCAGTTTGGGGTACCCCCCTCGCCTGCCAATTTCATCAAGCCAGGTGTGGTGTGAGGGTCCGGGGGTGAGGGATTTGGGTGGGGAGGGGGCTGCTGCCCTGCACAGGTGACTGACCAACATCTCTGCTCTGTCCTGTCGGCCGCAGGGAAGCAGCCACTCTCATCCATGTGTCCGACAATCGTGGTGGGCCCAGACGGCCAGGTCCGCATGGTGGTGGGAGCCTCTGGGGGCACGCACATCACCACAGCTACTGCACTGGTACGAGCCACTCCTGCCCTACCTGCTTCTAGCTGCTCTTTTCCCAGTCATACTGACCATGCCCCATCCTCCACCCTTAGGCCATCATCCACAACCTGTGGTTTGGCTACGAGGTAAAGCGAGCAGTGGAGGAGCCCCGGCTGCATAACCAGCTTCTGCCCAACACCACAACGCTGGAGAAGAATATTGACCAGGTGGGCTTGGGGTTGGGGAGACTGAGCCACAGTATGGGACTGGAGGCTGGGTTTTCTGAGCCCTCACAAGGTGAAAAATGGTTGGTGTCCTCTGCCTGGGAAATGTCTGCCAGGTGGGCCATCTGGAGCCCTGGTGCCCTGAGAGCCAAGCCACCTGCTCCAAGCCTGCTCTTCCTAATCACTTGGCTAGAAATGACCTCATCTGGCTGTGAGGCCTGGCTTGGATGGTGGTGTCTGGGGCTGTGCTGAAGCCTCCCCTTCCCTTCTTACCCCCAGGTGGTGACTGCAGCCCTGAAGACCCGTCATCATGAAACCCAGGTCACCTCCACTTTCATCGCTGTGGTGCAGGCCATTGTCCGCACAGCTGGTGGCTGGGCAGCTGCCTCGGACTCCAGGAAAGGCGGGGAGCCTGCTGGCTACTGAGTTCTCAAGACCAGAGACCCAGAGACAAGATGCTGGGGGTGGGAGGAGCTTTGGGGGACATGCTTCCCCTATGAGTGGCAGAGCAGCACAATAAATTGGGGTTGCCGTGCCAGGCTCTGGGCAGCCTCCTGGCCTGGCTCCCACTCTCTGGGCCTCGGTGTCCTGTGTGTGAATTGGAGACATCGGGCTGGCAGCAATGGTGTGGGGGGTTCTGAGGTCTTCACACTGGAGCTCCCTCAGCATTTTTCAGTAGGGCGAGAGCCTGGGGGCTGGTGGCGAGGGACAGGGGCAGGCCAGTGCTAAGCACTTGCTCCTCCTCTCCCAGAGCTCCTGGATAGGACTCCGGGTCCTCCCTTCTTGGAGTAGGGCAGCGACACTACCTAGTACCTGCCACCAGGGGGCACCAGGGCACTGACCTTTACTTGGACAGACGGTAGCGGGCAGATGCCAGGAACTCGGGTGTCTCCTCCTCAGACCCGCGGGTGTCCCGGCTCGCCCTGCTGAGGACAAACAGAGGTGAAGCTGAGGTCTGAGGAGTGGGAGTTGGGCAAGAGGCTGGAACAAAACATCTCAGTCAGACCCTGGGGGGGGCTTTCCAAGCACAAACTCTGAGTGAAAGAAACCCAGCTTGTGATCAGCTCCAGAGGGAGGCCCGATTCTCAGGAACAGCAGATCGCAGTGACTTGGACCAGATGGGAATGTGGCCCCAGGAAGGGGAGGCATCTGGAAGGGAATTGTTGGTTACAGCGCCCTTTGCCAAGGGGCCCGTCCCTCAGGCCCTCCTTCAGGGTCCGCTTACCTGTTCTCCACACAGTTGTAACACCTGGGATGGAAAATTTGGTGCTTCCAAAGTGCCCACAAGGAAATGGGTTTTGAGCCTGCAGAGTACACCCCAGGAGGGCTTTGTCTCTGGAGTTCCCCAGGGGTGAGATGACTGGGTGAGATGACAGGGGTGAGTGCAAGTCACTACTCAATCCTAAATTTAGCTTGAGAGAAAAGGTCATGGCCCCATTTACAGGGGAGAAGACTGAGGCCAGAAGGGAGGGCCTTCCTCTGAGTCGCACAGCACTGAGGGAAGTGGGGGCTGGCCATGAGGCTCCCTGGCCCCAACATGCTGACAGGTGTACCTCAGTGTCCCTGGCCCTATGGGGCTTAGTCCAAGGCTACCTCAGGGGCTGGTACTTGAATTCTCTCTTTTCTTCCAACTGTCCCCTCCCCCATCACCTCCTGGATAAGGACACTCAGGCCCTTCCCAGCGGGGCCTCCCCAGGGCGCCTCTGGCTGTTCCCAGCATGATACGCATTCCTTTCCCTGGGCCTTTGCTCTGGTGGTGCTTACACCCTGGCCTCTGCCTAATTGGGATGGCCAGGGAGAGGAGAGGGAATATCCCTGACTCCCACTGTCTCCACTGTCCCTGCTGTTCTGGCTTCTGGGTTTCAGGACTACAGCCTGTGGGCGGGATGGCCTGGGCCCAGGAATGCACTTTTGTTACTGGTTGTGCAATGTTGCTGGGGTTAAGGGGGGCAGGAGGAGGTGCCTATAGCCCCCACTGTGAGCAGCAGCTGTGGGAACAGCCTACAGGAAGGCCTGCCTCTTATGGCCGCTCCAGGCTGAGCTGACCAGAGGCTCTGGCTGGACATGGGGGTCTGGCAGGCTGTGTGTCCTGTGAGCATACAGTCCCTCTCTGGGCCTCAGTGTCTCTGCTGTAGTAGGAGGTGGGTTCTGACTGCAGGTGTAGTCACCTGGGGCAAGCACTGCTCACCTGGAAAGAAGTGGGGAAGATAGGTGGGGCCTCTGTGGCAAGTGTTTAGCCCATAGCCTCTGCACTCCACACCCCTGCTGAGCCTGGCCAAGAGAGACCCTCAGTGGGTACTCACTCCCAGGCTGCCCCCCCCCCCCGTTGGGTACCCTGTGGCCTGGGGCGGGCAAATAGGGCCCAGGTCAGTGTCCCCAGAAGAGTTGGGATGGACACAGAGATGTGGACCCCAGCCAGGGCACAGCAGAGCTGCAGGCGAGCATGGGGGCTCAGGCAGGGCAGCCTCCTTCTCTGGAGGTCCATGGCTGCATTTCCAGGACAGCAGGCCCCAGGGATGGGTAATCCAGTGCCAAGGGCTGAACGCATGGCCCGTCTGCGTTCTCCATGTGGGTGTCTTGCAGTCATGGGCGTTTGGTGCTCTCGAGTCTGCCTATCCCCTGTGCAGACTGGGAAGCTCAGGCCCCCTCCTGGCCACCCTGGGGATGGGGGGTGGTGTGCCAGCTGCAGCTGAGTAGGGACTTGAACCTGGGCCCTGAGTGACACCACCTTATGTCCTCTCTCCCTCTGTCTCTTCAGCCCCACTTTGAAGCTACCTGGGCTGGGCCATGCAGAGAGGGTGAGAATTAGAGGTGGGAGTTGGAGTGGGCTCCACCCTGTGGGGCCAGGCTTACCTGATCCAGGATAGGAAACTGGGTGGCCCCAGCTCTGCTTTTCTGGTGTTGGGTTTCTTGGGAGCCCTGCCTGGGCCTCCCCTCCCACTGGGTCCCCCAGGCGCCAAGGCCTCAAGCATATTCAGCGGGGATGGGACCACGGCAGCAAGGGAGTTAACCGCAGCAGCTGGCTCCTGTAGCAAAGAAAACTCCCCCAGACGCTTTGCTGCCTGGCCTTCCGCCAGGGCTGAGAACAGGGCTGAAAACTGGAAGTTGAGGCGTGAGCATAGCACACTCTCCCTCCGAAGTGAGCGCTTGAAGAGGGCAGCAGCTCTGTCACCAGCTGCTGGCTGCCAGCCGCTGTTCTTACGCTCCCCGCTGCCCAGACCTGTCTGTCCACCCACCTGTAAGCCCATCTTTGACCATCCTTCTCTTACTGTTCTCTCTGTCCAGCTGTCTGGCCTGTCTATCCATCTGCTTGTCTGTCTCTGGCCTCCCTGTTCGTCCATCTGTCCAGTCATTGGGAGCCCATGTGAGCCTACTCTTGTCCATTCATCTGCTCTTCCATCTGTCCATCTGTCTGTTCATTGGCCTATCTGCTCACCTGCCACCCCTCTCCCCCTGGGCTGTGGAGCCATGGCCTGGGGCTGCAGGGCCATCATCAGCCTGGTCCTGCTGGGGCTCGGGCTGGGACTGGCACTAGTCATCATTGTGCTGGCTGTGGTCCTCCCTCGCCATCAGGCCCCCTGTGGCCCCCAGGCCTTTGCCCACGCTGCCATTGCTGCTGACTCTAAGGTCTGCTCGGACATTGGACGGTGAGTGAGAGGTGGGAGGGAGCTGGGTGACCCTTGGCAGCTGGCTTGTTCTGGAGACTTTGTGACCAGTGCTAAGGGTGTGGAGTTGGTGCACATTTGCGAGCGTGCGTGTGTGTGTGTGTCTGTGTGTGTGCGCGCACGCGTGCACACATGCCTATGAGACGGGCCATGTGGATTTGGGCTTCAGCACAGGCCGGGCCTAGGGGCAAGGAGGCAGCCCCAGGGCCCTTGCACAGAACAGGCAGGTGTGCTGATAGAGCAGCCAGGGGTTTGGGGGCAAGGACAGTGTTGGCAGAGGTGGTATGTAAGTCTGTTCCTGACTCTAGGACCCAGGAAGCCATCTGCACAGCACAGGTAGGAAATGCTGGTGCTGGCTCCTTCAGCAAGGCCATGCCAGTTCTCCAAGGCTGAGGTCTCTTCCCAGGGTCACCAGCAAGGGAACAAAGGGGCTCCCTTTGTGGGTACTTGGCTGCTTGGGTGCACACAGTGCTCCCTCTCCTAGCCTGGGACCACATCTCCAGAATCTCAGACCTAGGACGCCCGGTGCGCCACCCCTCATATCCTCCCTCCTTGAGTCAGGGCCTGGGCCCTGCAGGCTGAGTGATTGATGCTATGGGCCTGTGTGAGACTGTGGTGGAGAGGGGCCACAGCTGGCGTTTCCTGAGCCTCTTCCAGGAAGCCCAGCCCAAGAGAGACTTCCACTGCCACTGCAGGGGTGGAACATGGCAAAACGCCCCTCCTAGCCCCCTGCCTCTCACTGGGCCTCCTGAAGGGACCCTCTTCCTCCCATTGGGCCTCCTGGGTAGGGGGGCTGCCTTCCACTGGGCCTCTGGAAGCCTGGGCAATCATCCCCTCCCAGATAGCCAACCGGTCTGCTTCCCAGATGGTCTGTCTTGCTGACTATAGTGAGGCTCCCAAATGTTTTGTAAACTGAGGAGGACAGTCCTAAAGTAAGGGGGGAATACCCGGGTCCTGGCCCAAGGCATGGCTGAGCAAAGTGCTCTGTTCTCCCTTCTTCTTGGAATCACCACTCTGGCATACTTTCTCTTTTTGTTTGTTCATTCATTCACCTTTTCATTCATTTCTTCCTCCCTTCATCCTCCATCTGTCCATCCCTCCGTCCCTGCCCCTGATTGCTCATAGCAGTCCCTACCTCCTCCTGATCTGCTCCTATGGGCTCTCCTCAGGTCTTACTGCTCCCTCCCTCGGGATTGAGAATGGCAGCTCAGAGACAAGTGGGAACTGGCAGCTGCTTGGTCTCCCCAGAGGGCTCCCAGGGGATTTGAGGGCGCGAGGCCATGTGCCACCCTGGGCAGTGCCCCTACTCTGCTCGGGAGGATTTGCAGAGATGCTGCAGCTACTTAAACTTAAAGTTGCAAATGAGGCTGGGTGGGGGGAGCCTCAGGTTTCAGAGATGACCAGTGGGCGTGTGGCCCCCAGGAGTGGGGGCTGCTGCCACAGATTTCCGAGTGGGGTTTGAACCCGCTATGTCACCCTGAATCTCTGCCCAGGGTTCTCCATGGTGTTACCTGCAGTGTGCGTGAGGGTCAAGGCTGGGGTCTCTGGTCTGAGCCTGCTCACTCCTACTGGCACCCCCTCGTGCTCTCCCTTGTTGAAGAGAGAGGATGTGGTTTGTCCTCAGTGTTTGGTCAAAAAACTCTCTGCTTCCTGGAGTAGAAGGGAGGAGTGGAAGGGACCCTGGAGTTGGCCCCAGCAGCTGCTGCAAAACAGGGGTCACAGGGTCCCCTGGAGGGAAGGGCTTGAGCCTCAGGAAGGCGCCTGGTGCAATGTCCTCCTTGGCTAAGATCCCTCCCTGGGAGGTGGGAGGGGGCCCTGGCCACAATGCTGCGGGATCTGCTGGGGGCCAACCCGCAGCCCACATTCCTTCCTCCTTCCTGTCCCCATCTCTCCCAGAGCCCATCCTCTGCTCTGTCAGCACCAGGCTATCTCCCTGGGATGAGTCTTCTGCTGCAGCTGGAGTCCCTGAGTGTGGGTTCCTAAGGTTGATGTGAGCGAGGACCCAGCACCATGCCTGGTAGACATATCACAGGGGGTTGGTGACATCCCTGCTTTGATCCTTGTCTGAATAAATAAATGTGTGTTTGCAAAAAAGATAATTTTCTAAACTTATTATTTCTTCTACATTCATTAGCTGGTGTTCTCCTTCTGTAAAGAAAATCTCCCCTCCCCAACCCTGACATTCTTGAGAATTAGCTAGTGACTCATGGATTGTTATTTTAATTCAATATGTTATAATCCATCACTATCATTCTTTTTGATGCTTGAATGGTCACAAACGTGACCTGTGGGAACCCCTTTAAGCCAGTACATTTCTTCATTACATGTCTTCTTTAGTCTTGGAGAACTTTCTAGCCTGCTAGCACAGGATGTCCAGGACCAGCTAGAATATTACCTCAACCAGGCCTGAAGTCTGGAACTAGTAGAGAAGGTGTTTTAGAAACCAAGATCGGGGGACCGGGAGGGCTCATTTCTGCTGAGATGCCATTGCTCCCGGGTTGTTTCTGTGCACAGAGCCAGAAAAAAACATATTTAGAAACCATCAAGTCCACACTAATACCTCCAGCTCAAATCCACCACCACAGGGTCCTTCCAGTCTTTCCCCATCCCATCTTGTTCATCCCTTTTGCCATGGTGAAAGAAGTTTCCGAAAATATCAATATATTCATTGACTTACTCTTCCCTAAAATACAGAATAGTTTCAGAATTACTTCAACAACCAAACCACCATGAGTAACAAATCTACTAGGTAAAAGTCAAGACATCTTTGCAAGGCCATTTTTTTGTCCTTAACATCAAAAGCACAAAAGGGGTACTGTTGATTGAATTATTTTTCCTGGCAGCCCCTCGGGTCCCACCCACTGTGGAAAGTTTTCTGTCCTCTCAATAAATACTGTTTTCAAAAAAATATATTTTTCCTGTATGGTTGGTTATGCTATCAGTTCAACATACTCTGAGCTTACTTTTTTTAGGATTAATAAAATCCTTTTTGTTTTAATTTTATTTTCTAATAAAAAGTCAAAAGTATATAAAAGGTATGCTCATAAAGTCTTACTCCCATTTCTATTACTTTTACCTGTTCCTATTTATTCTTTTACTGGAAATCATTTATAGTTGTTTCTGATTTATTTTTCCTGTTTCATGTTTTTATTTTTTTAAAATGTCTATTTCTTTTCTTTTTTAGTTATTATTTCTGTGTTTCTTTTTGCAAAAACAAGCAAATATATCACTTAATTTCTCTTTTTTGACATGACTTTTGGTGTCCAGAAAGGTTTGTATTTTTGTTCTAATGGTTACCTTTAAATTCATATACTCATTCTATATGCTCTGTATTTTATATAATTATGATAATTGATATATAAGATGTGGTGCCATAGTACTTTCTTTTTTGGATATTTTCTTTTGGCTCCTATGATGGTTACTTTTATGTGTCAACTTGGCTAGACTGTGGTGCCCAGTTGTTTGGCCAAATACTAGTCAAGATACAGCTGTGGCAATCAGTTGACTTTAAGTAAAACAGATTATCTTTTATAACATGGGTGGGCCTCATCCAATCAGTTGAAGGTCTTAACAGCAAAAATTGAAGTTTGATGGAGAAAAAGGAATCCTACCTCAAGAATTCTACCTGCGTTTCTGGCCTGCTGGCTTGTCCTACAGACTTTAGGCTCAAGACTGCAACATCAACCCTTACCTGAATTTATAGCCTGCTGGTCTGCCCTGCAGATTTCAAGCTTGTTAGCTTGTTAGCTCTTACAATTGTGAGCCAATTCCTCTCTAGAATGTACTGTTAGTTTTGTTTCTCTAAAAACTCTGATAGGCCAGACATGGTGGCTCACGCCTATAATCCCAGCACTTTGGGAGGCTGAGGTGAGAGAATTGCCTGAGCCCATGGGTTCGAGACCAGCCTGGGCAAATTGGTGAGACTGCATCTCTACAATAAATCAAAAAATTAACTGGGCATGGTGGTGTGTGCCTGTAGTTCCAGTTACTTGGAAGGCTAAGGCAGAAGGATCACCTGAGTCCAGCAGGTAGAGGTTGCAGAGGCCTGAGCGTGCCACTGCACTCCAGCCTCGGTGACAGAATGAGAATCCTGCTCAAAACAAAACAAAACAAAAAAAACTCTGACATCCAGTTTCCTACTATGAGTAATACCGAAACCAGCTAGTAACTTCTTCCTCCCCTGTGATGGATTCCTCGTCTCTAATAATACTTTTCTTTTTAAAGTCTACTTTGTTGGAATTTAATCACTATACCGCTTTCTTGGTTAGTGTTTGCATGACATAGTTTTCATTGTACCTTTCTATAAAAGGCATGAGTTGGGTTTTACTATATTTTTCGATTATCCTTTTATATATAATATAATTAATGATTCATTTGGGTTTAAATTCACCTTGAGATTATTTGTTTTCCATTTGCCATGCCTATTCTATTACTTATTATTGCCTTTTACATCTTGTTTTGCATTTATCTTTTTTTTATTATTCAATTTCCTCTATTAGTTTGGTAACTATACAGTCTTGGAGTTATTTTTAAAAATCACAGTAGATTATTTTAGAGGTTACAACATGCATCCTTCATTTATCAAAATCTAATATCAGTTATTAGTTTTATCCTCTTCCTTGTCAGTATGAGAACATTGGAACAGTAACTAAATTTACCTCCTAATGACTTACATGCTATTAAGTATAATATACATGCTATTTAAATATATGTGCTGGCCAGGTGCAGTGGCTCATGCCTGTAATCTCAGCCTTCTGGGAGGATTGTGAACCCAGGAGTTTGAGAACAGCTTAGGAAACATCGTGGGAACTCATCCCTACCAAAAAAATAAAAAAATTAGCCAGACGTGATGGCACATGCCTGAAGTCCCAGCTACTCAGGAGGCTGAGGCAGAAGGACTGCCTGGGCCCAGGAAGTAGAGGCTGGGTGAACCATGATCATGCCACTGCACTCCAACTTGGGCGACAGAGTGAGACCCTGATGTAAATAAATAAATAAATGTAGACATGTATCCATAGTTTTTATTTTTACTTATGTTACTAGCATAGAGTTATATAAAAGTAGAGAGAATTGTATAATGAAGCCCCATGCATCCTTCATTCAATTCCAACAATTTTCTGGTCAACCTAATTTCATATACACTCTTCGGCTTTCCCCTACCTCATATCATTTCAATGGAAATCCAAGATATGTAATTTCACCCATACATATTTCAGTATGTTTGATTCATTTTTTAAACCTCACAAGATACCTTCATTTTCCATGTTACTATAATTTTATTTTATTTATTTATTTTGAGTCAGAGACTCATTCTGTTGCCCAGGCTGGAGTGCAGTGGCACACTCACAGTCACCCCAGCATCGACCTGCTCTGGTGATCCTTTTGCCTCAGCCTTCCAAGTAGCCAGAACTATAGGCGTGCACTACTGTACCCAGCTAATTTTCTATTTATTGTAGAGACGAGGTCTCACCAAGTTGCCCTGGGTGGTCTCAAACCCGTGGGCTCAGGCAATCCACTCGCCTCCACTTCCCAATGTGCTAGGATTACAGGCTGAGCAACTGAGTCCGGCCGTTACTATAATTTTTTACAAATAACATTCAGTTAGATTTACCCACATATTTACCTCTTCTATTGCTCTTTATTCTTTTTAAAAATTCATTTTTGAAGGATATTGTTAGTGGGTATAGAATTCTGGGTTGGAAGTAATTTTCTTTGCTGACTTTGAAAACATTAATCCCTTGTTTCTGGCTTTCTTTTTTCAGTTGAGAAGCCAGCTCAGTCTAACTTTGCTCCTTTGAAGGCAGTCTGTTTTTTTTCCCCCAAGCTACTTTGGAAAGTTTCGTCTTTGGCTTTGAGCAGTTTTGCATTGGTGTGTTTAGGCTGCTCATCAATCTATGACTTGATTCTTTTTTGTTCATTTTAGAAATTCTCAGCTTTATCTCAAGTATTACTTCTTCCTGTCTTCTGTCTCCTCTCCTTGTGGGACTCCAATTTCACATGATTTATACCTCCTGAAAGTATTCCCTATGACTCTATTTTTTAGTTTATGCATGTTCTATCCTGTTTTCTTTCTGTACTTCAATTTGAATATTTTGTATCAAACCATTTCCCAGTTCACTAATCTTTTTTTATATGTTTAATTTGCTGTTAGAATTGAGCTCCTAATTCCGTTTATTTAGTTGCCAGTTCTCCGAGGCAATTTTTAATCGTGTGTGTGTGTGTGTGTGTGTGTGTTTAGTTGGAGTCCCACTCTGTCACCCAGGCTGGAGTGCAATGGCAGGCTCATGGCCACCGCAGCCTCAACCTGCTGGGCTCAGGTGATCCTTCTGCCTTAACCTTCCAAGTAGCTAGAACCACAGGCATGCACCACCATGCCTGGCTAATTTTTTGATTTATTGTAGAGACGAGGTCTTGAGAAGTTGCCTAGGCTGGTCTTGAACCCCTGAGCTCAGGCAATCCTCTCGCCTCTGCCTCTTAAAGTGCTGGGATTACCGGTGTGAGCCACCATGCCTGGCTACTTTTTATTTTTAAAGACGCATTCTCACTCTACCACACAGGCTGGAGTGCAGTGGCTCAACCATAGTTCACTTCAACTTCAAGCTCTTGGATTTAATTGATCCTCCTGCCTCAACCTCCCAAGTAACTGGGATCATAGGTGTGCACCATCATGCTCAGCTTGTCTTTATATTTTTGAATATAGTTGCTTTAAAGTATATGGTCTAACAATTTCACAATCTGGAGATCCTATGGGTCTTTTTGAAAGTTATTTGTACTTTCTCTTGGCTTTGTTCCTGCTATCTTATTTTCTTGTTTGCTTGGTTATTTTGAATTTAGCACTGAAAGGTGTTTACAAAAATTGTTAGAAATAATTTTAGAAATAATCCAATGTTTCAGATTCTGCAATTCTGATACAGTATCACTTTCATCCAATTTCAGTGACTGAGATAATTTGAGGCTGGGTCCCAGCGCTCGTGAGGGCTGCTCTATTTCTGGTTGGCTGTCATTCTTAGAGTAAGGAAACCCCCATTCAGTGTGGGGTATTATAACATCCCCTCTCCTAGACACATGAGAAGGCCACAGACACTACTCTGCCTCTGTCTCCTCTTCCAGGCTTGCAGTCTCTTTGGGGGAGAAGCTGCTCCCAACGTCAGCCTTCCCTCTCTCCAGTTCTATACTTCATTGGCTCTGATGCCTTAAGGATTTCTTCACTGGCTCCGATGCCTTAAGGATTTCTTCACTGGCTCCGATGCCTTAATTTTTTCTATTTGCCTGACTTTTCTAGTTCTCTGAGGAATATTAAATTATCTGAATTTTAGTCTGCCAATAACAGGAAGTCTTATTTACATTTGACAGGTTATTTTGTTAAAATGTAAGAAAACAAAGCAGACATAGGGGCTCAGGTGGGAGGCCACTGCAATAACCCAGGCGAGAGAGCTTGGTAGCTTGCACGAGGGTAGGTGGTGGAGGTATAGCCGGCTGGGTACACGGATGGATTGGCTATGGGAAGGGAAGAAAGTGATCAATCAAGGATGACTCCAGGTTTTACGCACTGAGGGAAAGGGTAGGTTGTTGTGTCATTTTCTAAGACAGCAAGGGCTAGGAGAGGAGCCGCTTTGGGTCAAGGATGGGAGGAAACCCAACTGTACAGTTCAGGTCATGGTATGTATGAAATGCTCCTTAGACACCCAGGGGATGTGACTTGTGCATAGCCGGGTATAAGTGTCTGGGGCAGGGGTCCTCAAACTTTTAAAACAGGGGGCCAGTTCACTGTCCCTCAGACCGTTGGAGGGGCGGACTATAGTTTAAAAAAAAACTATGAACAAATTCCTTTTTTAAAAAAAACTATAGTCCACCCCTCCAACGGTCTGAGGGACAGTGAACTGGCCCCCTGTTTTAAAAGTTTGAGGACCTCTGGTCTGGGCTGTAGAGGAGAGGACTGACTGGAGATACAAACTGAGAGTCATCAGCATAGGGCAGTATCTTCCTCCATGAGCCTGGAGAACCTTCCATCTCTCATCCAGGAGAACATCTAGATGCCCAGGGACCAAGAACCAAGCCCAGGGTCTTCAACATCAGGAGGCCAGGGGACTGGGAGTAAGACCAGAGCCTGGGGGCAGAGGGTCCTGGAAACTAAGTGCAGAAAGGGCTGCCAAGAGGAGGAGGCACTGGGCTGGGCTGGCTGCTGCTGAGCTGGCTGCTGAGCCAGCAGGGAGGGTTGTTGGGGAAGCCAAGAGGCACTCCATGTACTGTGCAGGATGAGGTCTTTGTCTGGAATGGGAATTTAATGTGGTTCTTCCTTCCCCTTCAGTTGGTCATTTGGCTTTGTTTATGGTGTTTTATTCTTATTAAAAATTAGCACTTCTGCCTGACTTGTTTCTTTTCTGCATCTGGCTTCGTGCTCTCTTTCCCATTCTAAGATTATGTGTCACCCATAGTGCGTCACCCATTGTGTCCATGTGTGGGCCCAGAGAGGGACATGTGGCTCAGAAGCTGGGGAGGGCTTGAGTCTGGGATGGACTGGGCAGGCCACAGGTGCCTGAGCCGAGGGAGGACCCTGGGGTCAAAGATACCACAGGGTGGGGACAGAGGACCCAGGTCCACTCCCTCCTTGGGCCTTGGTTTCCCCAAAGGTAACTGGGGTTTAAATGCCAGCCTCTTGAGGTACTGGGGAGGACTCTTAGGTGTGAGGAAAGAAGGGGCCTCAGTGAGTTGTACAAGGCTGTGCCCTAGGGACAGATGCCATCATGGCACAGGCTAGTCTGACCAGCCCTTCACACCTGAAGGGCCCACTTATTGTTGCCTGTGAACAAACGTGGAGACTGAGGTCAGAGACTTGGGGCCCCAGGAGAAGCTAAGGGGTCTATCAGCCCAAGCCTCACGTCCTGGTTCCGAGGCAGGATCCTGGGGTCACCTGTCAAAGGCCAGCCTTGAAGAGGTTGGGGCCAGAGTGTCCCCAGTGAGGCAGGAAGTGAAGTTCCAGGATGAGCTTCTGAGGTCACTGGGAGGGATCCACGGATGGTCTAGGGCTAGTTCTGCCTTCAGCAAATGAGCTGGTGCTACTGGGAGTGCCTCGGAGATCATAAAAGCATTTTGCAAACTGAAAAGCACCTTGTATATAACAAAGGTTGGTGTAAAGCGCTCACACTTTGCAATCTGTAGAGTGCAGTGGACGTGTGAATGGCTGGATTCAAGGGGACAGCCTGGTATGTTCTCTGGGGTTTGGTGATAGCAGATAGGCTACCTCTCTGTCACCATTCCTCAGTGAGTACCAGACAAGCAAGCCCAGGTGGGGGTGCTGGGGGAGGGAAGCCCTGTTGCTGACCCTATGCCGTGTGCCATGTCCCCTAGAGCCATCCTCCAGCAGCGGGGCTCGCCTGTGGATGCCACCATTGCGGCTCTGGTCTGCACCAGCGTCATCAACCCTCAGAGCATGGGCCTGGGTGGAGGGGTCATCTTTACCATCTACAACGCGAAGACAGGTGGGTCCATGCGTGAACCCCCATCAGGAGGATGGGATTGGCCACGTCACTGGATAACTACTTCCCTTGGTCACACCACTGGGTAACCACTTCCCGAGCCAGTCCTGTCTGCCAATGCCCCTTCCCAGGTGCTCTCAGGCCTCCTGCCCCGCCCCTTCCCCTCAGTTGTGCAGAGCCTTGGCGTCAGGTCCTGTCCTGAGAGTTAGCACAGAGGTCACCTCATGATGCAGAGAGGGCAACTGAGGCCTAGAGCAGGCGTGAGCCATCTGCAGGAGCCCTGGCCACTCACTTGCCCTGACCTGACTCCAGGGAAGGTGGAGGTCATCAATGCCCGGGAGACAGTGCCCGTCAGTCATGACCCGGCCCTGCTGGACCAGTGTGAGAAGGCCCTACCGCTGGGCACAGGTAAGTTCCCAGGGGGTCCTAGCGCCTACCCTACTAGGTCACTGCAGCTTACCGGAACACCCTCCTGAAGGGGCAGTGTGCCTCTTGGATAGACTGTGACTGTCTGGCACTGGGGGACGGCAGCTGGGGTACAGGGAGCCCATGGGGAGTCCCCAAAATGCTGAGTTTGGGAGAGTCCTCCTGGCAGAAGGGCTTTCTGAGGAGGGAGGGGTGACTCGGGGGAGGGACCAGGCTGGGCAAAGGCCCAGAGGGTTCGGTAGAGGTGGGTTGTCAGGTTGGGTTCCCGGGGCCCTGGCTGTGGACTTTATAGAGAGTCATGGGAGATTGGAGCAGGAGGGATGTGGTCAAGCATGGGCTCCAGAGAGCTCACTCTGGCGGCTGTGCTGGGGGGTGGGAGGGAAGGGAACATGTGGGATGATGGAAGGAAGCCACAGGGCTGAGGGCAGGGCATGCCACACAGGGGCCCAGTGGATCGGAGTGCCTGGGGAGCTCCGTGGCTATGCCAAGGCCCACCACCGCCACGGACGCCTGCCCTGGGCACAGTTGTTCCAGCCCACCATCGCGTTGCTCCGCAGGGGCCACCGTGTGCCCCCTGTCCTTGGCCAGTTCCTGAACAACAGCTTCCTGCGGCCTGTCTTACACAGGTCAACCCTGAGGTGAGCCCCACACGGTGGCCCTGGGCTCCTTGGGCTCGAGATCACGATGGTGTCTTGGACCCGCCCACACCCCAGCTCTGCCTTAGTCCCTCCTCACCCTCAGCACGTGCTAGGGACCTTCAGGCTTTTCTGTCTCATCTCATGGACCTTTGAGTTCCACGTGGCAAAGCCTAACTCAAAGGGGCTTAGTCTGGGGGAGATTCTTTCCTGGGTGATAGAACCCTGGCGCCATAGATTTGGGCTCTGCCAACACCTTGGGCTCTGGTCTCTTTCCCACTCTTTGGCATGGCAGGAGGGCTTCGGCTGCCCCTTCGCCCACTGTCAGATCTTCCCAGGAGTGTGGGGAGGACAGGCCCTGAGCAGACACAGCCCCCAGTGGGGAACACACACTCCCTGGGGCCAGGGTTATGACAGGAGTGGGTGCTATCAACCCCACCCACGCCTAGAGAGTCTGTCCCCATGGTATCCACTCCAGGCCACAGCTGCCCTATTCCATGAGAGCCCCAGCAGGAGTAGGGTTGCCTTGGGGATCTAGTCCTGCCCTTAGGCTTTCCCCCCCACCACCAGGAAGCTCTTCTTCAATGGGACAGAACCCCTGAGGCCTCAGGACCTTCTCCAGTGGCCCGAGCTGGCCACCACCCTGGAGACTGTGGCCACGGAGGGTGCAGAGTCCTTCTACACAGGGAGGCTGGGCCAGATGCTAGTGGAGGACATTGCCAAGGAAGGTCAGCCTCGCTGGGGTCCCATGTCCCATCCTTGCCAGAGAAAGAGCTAAATTCCAGGTGCTGGGGTTGAGGGCAGGCCTTGTGGGAGAGCCGGCTGCTCCTGGGGCTCAGAGAGCCCATGCACCAAGCCACTGCTGGCCTCAGGGAACCCTGTGGTGCAGGACTTCAAAGAGCAGAGTCCCTGCGAGTTAGTGCCAGCAGAGGGGAGTATCAACAGCCACCTAGTCCTGAGCTGGCAGCCTCTTGGAGGCCAGTTCCCGCTCCCATCTTCCCTTCTTTTCACCCACCTGCCTGCCGCAGGCCTCTGTCCACCCCACAATGCCTGACTCCAAGGGCCAGTCCTGACGCCACTGCCCACAGACCCACTGTCACCCTCTGGGTTTGCAAGGCTAGGGGACGAGGGGAAGCCATTGTGTCACCTGGGACCAGGGGCCATCCCTCTCTGCCTCGGTTTCCCCATCTGTTCATGGATCCCTCTCCCTCTCACCCCAGGGAGCCAGCTGACCCTACAGGACCTGGAGGCGTTTCAGCCTGAGGTGGTGGATGCCCTGGAGGTGGCCCTGGGGGACTACACCCTGTACTCACCACCGCCACCAGCGGGGGGCGCCATTCTCAGTTTCATCCTTAAGGTGCTAAGAGGTAAGGCCCTTCTGCCTCCCACCCACCTGCTCAGAGCCCTGTCCCCATGGGAACCCAAGCTCTAAGATCAGTCATGGAGGTGAGTGAATTGCCTGAGCCCGCGAGTTTGAGACCTGCCTGAGCAACTTGGCGAGACCTCGTCTCTACAATAAATCAAAAAAATTAGCCGGGTATGGTAGCGCACGCCTGTAGTTCCAGCTACTTGAAGGCTGAGGCGGAAGGATCGCGGAGCCCAGCAGGTCGAGGCTGCAGTGGCCGGGAGCGGCCACTGTACTCCAGTCTGGGCGACAGAGTGAGACTCCAACTCAAAAAAAAAAAAGATCAACCATGGCCTTGGGTGACTACTGCCTTTTCCAGCCCAGCCTCCTCCTCTATAAACTGGGTTAAAAGACACATGACACTGTGGAAACTGGTCAGGATGGTGTGTTTTGGAGCTGACCTTTGGCTCAGCCCATATCTTGGGTTTTGCTGAAGGGTCTGGCTTCGCCCACCCATCCAGTCTTCCTCCCCTACTACATAATCCAGTCCCAGGGCACAGGATCAGGTAGACCATGCAGGTAGTAAGTTTCCTGTCAGGGATGAGGCACAACCCATGGGTGAGGCACAACCCAGCCTCTGGCGGCCTGCAGGGGGGATCCAGGCAGTGCCCAGGCCTACGACTGCCCGAGATTGGCTATATAAGAGTCTAGTGGCTGCCGTACAAATTGCAATGAATTTGGTGGCTTAAAACAACACATTTATTCTCTCACAGTTCTGGAATGTCAGACGCCCAGTATTGAAGTGTCCGCAGGGCTGCATTCTCTCTCAGGGATCTAGAGGAGAATTCATCCTTTGCCTTGTCAACCTAAATAAAAAAACAGAGAGCGACTCTCTAAAAGAAAATGATGTTTCATAGGTACTAGTCATTGTAGTGGGAATACACGTGCCACAGTAAACTATGTGTCTATTGAGGGAGGTAAAGGAAGACAAAGGCTTCTCAAGGAATAAATGAGGATTACGTAATTGTTTTCAAATGACTATCCTTGAAAATGAATAACAAAGGTGACACCGGTTCTAAGTTGGACAGTCAGTTGCTGGGCAGATGTCCTCACAGAAGTATTTTTTGTGTCAGGTTGTGATGGACTCATGCAAGGTTGTGGTTTTTGCAGTCTCTTGTGATGTGTCATCAGGCAGACTAGCATGAGAACCCTCTCCTCTCAGCCTTCCCTGGCCCTATTGTCAGGGCTTTATTTACATTCCATTTATTCCATTTGATTGTGACAACTGTCACTGCCTTCTCCAGCTTCTGGTGGCTGTCAGTATTCCTTGGCTTGTGGCTGTATCATTCCAATCTCCATCTCTGTGGTCATATTGGCCTCTCATTTTCTCTGTCTATTTTTTTTTTTTTTTTTTTGAGTTGTGAATCTCACTCTGTTGCCCAGGCTTGAGTGCAGTGGCATGCTTACAGTCACCGCAGCCTTGACCTGCTGGGCTCAGGTGATCCTTCTGCCTCAGCCTTCCAAGTAGCTGGAACTACAGACACACACCACCATGCCCGGCTAATTTATTTTGATTTATTGCAGAGATGAGGTCTCACCAAGTTTCCCAGGCTGGTCTCAAACCCGTGAGCTCAGGCAATCCTCTCACCTTGGCCTCCCAAAGTCCTGGGATTATAGGCATGAGCCACTGCACCTAGCTCCTCTGTCTGTCTTATAAGGATACATACGATCACATTTAGGGCCTGTCTGGATAATCCAGGGTAGTCTTCTCTTAAAATCCTTACCATGATTTACCATTGATGCAATATTCACTCCTTAGCTGTATAAGATAACAGTCACAGGTTCTGGAAATTAGGAAGTGGATGGGCCTTTTGGGGGCCAACATTCAACCCATTACACAGAGTGACTCCCCACCCGGGCCCTGCCCCCTCCCCAGGGTTCAACTTCTCGGCAGAGTCGGTGACCAGGCCCGAAGAGAGGGTGAATGTGTACCACCATCTTGTGGAAACACTCAAGTTTGCCGAGGGACAGAGGTGGCGGCTGTGGGACCCTCACAGCCATCTGGAGGTCCAGGCAAGGAGCCTGGGACTGGAGGGACATCCTTATCATGAAGGGAGGGTCAGGCCGGGCAGGGGGAGGTTGGAGGGATTATATGTGGTTCTAGATTGGGACAACCTGGCCATGGCCCAGGGTAGGACTGGAACCATATCTCAAAGCAGTGGCACCATATCTCAAAGCACCTGCAAGGTGGGCATTGTCTGCCCAGCCTGGGCTCGAGGGAAGCACCTCTGGCCACTAGGTAGAGGAAATACTGGAAAGAACCACCCAAGGGGGCTGAACTTAGCTGTATGGACCCTACTGGCCCCACACTGACCTGCCACCTGCCCACCCACCCCAGAATGCCTCCCAGGACCTGCTGGGGGAGGCTTTGGCCCAGCACATTCGCCAGCAGATTGATGGCCGGGGGGACCACCAGCTCAGCCACTACCACCTGACCAGGGCCTGGGACCACAGGACAGGCACGGCCCATGTGTCTGTGCTGGGGGAGGACGGCAGCGCCGTGGCTGCCACCAGCACCATCAACACACCGTGCGTGGGGCCCGAGGGCAGGCGGGCGGCCCCCGCTCTCCACTCCCTGGACCCATACTCCCCTGGTCTCCCCTCACTTGTCCTTGGGGTGGCACCTTGCTTTTGCCCTTTCCCTTCTCTCTGTCAAAAGGTGTCCTCCACCCCAACATCTCTGACTGAAAAGGCTACAGTTGGGGTGGTCCTGAGCCAGGGCTTGCCTGGGAATAGGCCTCACTGAGAAAGTGATGGGTAGCACAGGTGGGTCTTGAGGGACCCTTGCTGTGTGGTGCCAGGGAGAGAATAGTGGCTCCAGCATACTGGGGGGCAGCTGTAAAATAAAGGGGTCCTGTAAGAACCATGTGGAGATGGGATCCCAAGGCCCTCCCACTGCAGCTTCGGGTCAATGGTGTACTCACCACGTACGGGCATCCTCCTCAACAATGAGCTGCTGGACTTGTGCTGGAGACGTCCCCCAGGCTCAGGCATCACCCCCTCACCCGGTGAGAGCACAAGGAGCCTGCTGGAGAGTGGGGAGGGGGCCGGGCTGGGCACTACCCACCACCCCATGGATAGGTCACTCCACTCCACTCACTAGGCCTCTGTTTTCTCAGAGGTGAGTGGAGACAGGGTGGGTGGTGCAGCCAGGGGATGCTGGCTCAGAAACAAGGCTGCAGGTGGTAAGTGTCTGGTCCCCAGTTCCAGGGGAGCGGCCCCCATCATCCATGGCGCCCTCCATCTTGATCAACAAAGCCCAGGGGTCGAAGCTGGTGATTGGTGGGGCCGGCGGGGAGCTCATAATCTCTGCTATGGCCCAGGTGAGTCTTGGGGTTCCTGGTTAGACTGCCCCCTCTCTGGGAAGTCCCACTCTCCGACTCTCCATGGGGTGGGGTATGACGGCTGGTGAGATGGCGGGTGCCCCTCCCTCCTGCAGCCCCTTCTCTCCCCCAGGTCATTATAAACAAGCTGTGGCTTGGCTTTAACCTGACAGCAGCCATTGAAGCCCCCATCCTGCATGTCAATAGGAAGGGCCATGTGGAGTATGAGCCCCATTTCAATCAGGTAAGGCTGAGGTCCAAGCCTAGAGCGACTCCTGCCCCCCAAGTCTATTCTGCTCAAAGACACCGGGGAGGCATTCAGGCACTGAGTGTCTTAGGCCAGGCACACTTCAGACTTGGGGACCATAGGAGTTGAAGCAGTCAGTGGTCTCCAGGCCAGTTTGTGGCCTCCAAGGCAGAGAGCAGGATGTTGTCTATACTTTTCCCAGGCCGAGGATCTCAGTTCCTTGATCCGTGGTATGTGTAGCCATTTTCAGAAACTAGTTTTCCTGGCTAGACCTCTTAGACTCTTCCTCATGGTGACTTGTTTCTTTGTGTGATTTGCAAGATCATTTGTAAAAGAGGTTGTTCTTCCTGTGGGAGTCTGCCGAGTGATTTTGTTCTGAGGCATTAGGGGATGTGTTGGTTCTCACAAACAGGTTTGGGTTCCTCTACAAAAGCCATGGTGCAGGTCCAGGGGCTGAATTCTCCTGGCTAACTCCCCGCTTCCTCCAGATGTTAGCTTTCTTTTCTTTTCTTTTTTCTTTTTTGAGTCAGAGTCTCACTCTGTCGCCCAGGCTGGAGTGCAGTGGCATGCTCACAGCCACCACAGTCTTGACCTGCTGGGCTCAGGTGATACCTCCGCCTCAGCCTTCCAAGTAGTTGGAACCACAGATGAGTGCCCCCATGCCTGGCTAATTTTTTTTTTTTTAATTGTAGAGATGAGATCTTGCCAAGTTGCCCAGGCTGGTCTTAAACCATGGGCTCAGGCAATTCTCTCATCTCTGCCTCCCAAAGTGCTGAGATTATAGGTGTGAACCACTACACCTGGCTCAGATGTTAGCTTTCTTGGAGTTTCTCTGGGCTGGTGAATGCCCTTTGCTAGGACCCATTAAAAAGCTGGCCGAGCCGGGCTCGGTGGCTCAGCCTGTAATCCCGCGCCTTTGGGAGGCTGAGGTGAGTGGATTGCCTGAGCCCATGGGTTCGAGACCCGCCTGGGCAGCGAGACCTCATCTCTACAGTAAATCAAAAAATCAGCCAGGTGTGGTAGCGCATGCCTGTAATTCCGGTTACTTGGAAGGCTGAGGTGGAAGGATCGCCGGAGTTCAGCAGGTCGAGGCTGTGGTGGCCGGGAGTGGCCACTGCACTCCAGTCTGGGCGAGAGTGAGACTCCAACTCAAAAACAAAAACAAAAACAAAAAACGCTGGCCGGGCTCGGCGACTCAGTCTGTAATCCCAGCACTCTGGGAGGCTGAAGCGAGTGGACTGCCCGAGCCTATGGGTTCAACACCAGCCCTGGCAACTTGGCGAGATCTCGTCTCTACTAAATAAAAGATTAGCTGGACGTGGTAGTGTGCGCCTGTAGTTTTGGGTACTTGGAAGGTTGAGGCGGAAGGATCGCCGGAGCCCAGCAGGTCGACACTAGGGTGGCCATGACTGTGCCACTGCACTCCAGCCTGGGCAACAGAGTGAGACTCCAACTCAAAAAAATAAAAAATAGAAATAAAAAACACTGATGCTTTCTAAGGTTTTAAGCTTTATGCCCGGGTCAGTTCAACTAGCCGGGATTCAAGGTTCTCAGAGCTGCCTTTCCTGTTATGAGCTTCTCTTGGTCTAAAGACCACCTTTCTAAGCCCCTAGAATTCTGAGGACCATAGACTGGGCCTTTAGTCCAAGGGAGGTGTAGTCCCTGAGAGCTTTAGGCTTCAGACCTTGAGACTAAGGATCCCAGCCTGTTAGGCTCAAACTCTCAGCATCTGAGGCCTTCCCTCCCTGTGTAGGTTTCTTCCAGTAGCCAGAGAACACCCTCAGAGCCCCAGGCTCTGGGGGTCTTATGTCTGGAAGACCTCAGGATCCAGGGCATATCCTCTTGAGCCCTTCTTCTTGACCCTTGACTAAAGATCCTTACTTTGCGGATATCCGTTCTCAGGACCTGGCACTCTGAAGACCTTAGACTCTGAGAATTCGGGAAATGACAGTCTGGGGACTGAGATTAATGGAATCGAGTGACCCATGAACCCATGGTCCTCAGATCCCCTGGGGAGTCAGTGTCAGCTATGCAGGTCTAGGGCTTTCCATGGAGAAAAATCCTAAACTCTGGGTTGGGTATTTTGAGTCTCCAAGAACCTTCACAGCTAAGGCTTAGGGACTGGGGTGAGGAGGATCTTTGATCCTTAGTATCTTGGAACTTGGCCAACTGACTCTAAGAAATGAAATTTTTGAGCACCAAAAGTCTAGCTTTGGCTTCAGCAGTGAGAATCTTGGCCTTCAAGTCTAAGGAAACTGGGCAATTAGTATGTCAGACAGAGGGAACTTATCACCAAGAGTGCAGGACTCTGAAGACCTTACCTTGCAAGCAGCTCAGGTTTGTGGTATCACCTGATGACCTCAGGTTGTAGGCTCTGGTCCTGAGGACTGCAGAGCACAAGGGACTTTGGACTTAGATATTGCTGGAATCTCAGGTCCTGACAGACAATGTTTTCTTTTTTTTTTTTTGAGTTGGAGTCTCACTCTGTCGCCCAGATTGGAGTGCAGTGGCCACTCCCGGCCACCGCAGCCTCGACCCGCTGGGCTCCGGTGATTCTTCCGCCTCAGCCTTCCAAGTAGCTGGAACTACAGGGGCACGCTACCACACCCGGCCAGTTTTTTGGTTTATTGTAGAGATGAGGCCTCACCAAGTTGCCCAGGCGGGTCACAAACCCACGGGCTCAGGCAATCCACTCAACTCAGCCTCCCAAGGCGCGGGATTACAGGCTGAGCCACTGAGCCCGGCCAGACAATGTGTTCAGCCCTTTAGTCCAAAATGGTATCTGGAAAGGTGAGACTCTGTACCCTGAGCATCTCCCACTCTGGGATTACTGGTGCCTTTAGCCTGGAGTGGGGGTCTAAATTCCTTGGATTCATGGGTATTCAGGGTGAATGGCAGTTGGAGCTTTGGGTCCTCTTGTAACTGAATCCTCCACGATAGTGCCCTGAACCTGCAGGGCATCGAGCCCTGAGGCGTTTGGCTACTACAATCCTGGATGCCTAAGGTCTTGAGTCTTTTCATCTGTGTGTTGAAATTATAGGTCTTACATGGTATGACAGCACTCAAGTCTGCAGGCCTGGATACCTGGCACCTAGTGCTTTGTCCCCCACAATGTTCTGGGGTCCCTGGGCTTGGAGACCCAAAGCAGGGAGAAAGCTCTTGAGTTGGGCAGTTCCTAATGTATGAACAACTCAGGACTCCAAAGGCCCCAACTTCAGCCTTCTCAAAGGCTTTGCTTTCGAGGTCCTCACAATTGGAGGCCTCTATGTCTATTTTGAGAAGCTACCTTCTCCATCGAAGGCCCTAGAACTCAGATTTGCACTCTGAGACCCTGGAGTCCTCAGATCCAGTACAGAAATAAAATTACATCTGGAGGACCTTCTGGCCTTGGTGATGTTCTCCCTCCATACTTCCTGGAGGCCAAGTACCTCCTCTCCGGCCTTTTGATCTCTTCAGGTCGGGTCCACTGCCCTCCCGTGCTTTGTCCGCCCTTGCCCTGCATCCTTGGGCCTCCCCTCTCCTAGTCCTGCCTTCAGGTTAGTTTTCCAATTCCCTATCCAGGCCTCTCCTCTCTGAAGTGGGTTGAGCTGTCCTCCCCTGTGAACCTGTCTTCTCTCTTCTCCAGGAGGTACAGAAGGGGCTCGAAGATCGTGGCCAGAACCAGAGCAGGAGGCCCTTCTTCCTGAATGTGGTCCAGGCAGTGTCCCAGGAAGGGGCCTGTGTGTATGCTGCGTCAGACCCGAGGAAGGGTGGAGAGGCTGCGGGCTACTGAGGACACTAATCTGCCCAGAGCTGGGGTCCAGCCCCACCATCAGTCCTGTGCTCTGCCTGGACGTGGCCAGGGGACCAAGTGCTCAAACAAGATCCAGACCTGGGACTGGAAGAAGCATGAGGGCTGACTCGTTCTCCTAGAGCCCCTTGGGGTCCTGCCCTGGACTCTCTATTTCTCCAGGCCTCTTGGCTGGGCCACTTGCCCACCCTCCTGGCCTGTGTATCCTCCAGTCCAAGATTAAAGAGGAGGCCGGACTATGGCTTGATTCAGGAGTTCCGAGTGGGGAAGAGGACCCCTGGACAGTGCCCAGTGGGTCACATCACACACACCAAGCTCCTGTGGTTCTCCACAACGCACCACCATGGAGGCAGGGAAACTGAGGCTTGCGGATGGGTCTGGCCTCACCCAGGCTACCCTGGACAGAGGCAAGCACCTACTACCACCAGCATCTTATTTGCCAGAGCTCAGCAGCATGGCTAGTCTTTGTCTTACGTGTTGGTGATGTTAACTGAAAAATCACACAATTTATAAATTTGGAAAGAGACTATTGCTTATAAAGGGTTACAGCCTGCAGGGTGGCCATTCTGACAGGCTGAGAAGTAAAGCCTCTGGCAAAGAACAGAGGCAGGCACTTCAAAGGAGGAGGGGTCTCTATCATAATACTATAAGAAAGGGATTGGCAGTAACGAGAAACTGCCAGGGGAAGGGGGTGGGATTGGTAGTTGAGGGAAACTGCCAAAGGAGGGAGGGGCACACCTCATCAACAAGGGTGCCTGCATAATGAACATTTGTATACCTAACCTGAATTGTACTCCACATCTTTAAAATTAAAAAACAAACAAACAAAAACAAAGGAGGAGGGGTTGGTGCAAGAAGAGCTTTATGGTGAATGGGTTGGCTAAACACATATTCAAGAGGTTGTAGGAGGAACTAAATACTCATGAAGGGGTCCATGCATATTTAGTAGACATGCATGTAACATACAATCCATTTTCTTTTTTTTTTAACTGGAGTGCAGTGGCCGCTCCTGGCCACCGCAGCCTCCACCTGCTGGGCTCCAGCGATCCTTCCGCCTCAGCCTTCTGAGTAGCCGGAATTACAGGCATGCGCTACCATGCCTGGCTGATTTTTTTGATTTATTGTAGAGATGAGGTCTTGCTGCCCAGGTGGGTCTCGAACCTGCGGGCTCAGGCAATCCACTCACCTCAGCCTCCCAAAGGCGCGGGATTACAGGCTGAACCACCGAGCCCAGCTCATACAACCCATTTTCACTGTGGAGTGGAGACTTAATGTTTAAAAGTATACATCAAAAGGTGAAGCAAGGACATGAAGGCACTCAGTGTGCAGCCTCTGTAAACCAGCCAGAAGCAGTTCATGGCCAGTGGTCTCTTAACAGGAGAAAGTTATAGAAGTTAATCTCTTGTCCCATCAAAGCTGTAATGATGGCTGGTGGAACAGGGGGGTCAGTTAGGCACTGTCCGTGGGTTGTGAATGAGCTGCAAATTGTTCTTCTATTGTTTATCTTCAAGCCATGGCTTGTTTAGCTGCTAGGGAAAGGGAAAAGTCTTGTGGCAATTCAAACATAGTATGTATATATATATATATATATATTTTTTTTTTTTTTTTTTTTTTTTT